TTCCTTAATWAGTGATGTGAAGAATAACTGCAGTGGAAAAAAGAATGGATGACTTTATGAAATAAAGATTTATGATATGTTACGTACCGTGCGGTCTGCATTGCCKGGCATGATTAGATCCACATMCAGCTCCGAAACTACTGAGTAAGTTATGGTGTAATGCAAGACTTATATACCAGTCCAAAAAACATTACGGTAATCCAAAATTAAACATTTCAAGGTATAATAAAGTAAACAATAATCAAAACAAGGATAAAAGTTTTCAAGCTTTTAAAATGAGCGTGGGAATGTAGTTGAACACAATTAGGTCAAAGTACCAGTATCATTTCGCAGTCAGGTAAAGAGCAACATGTGAACAACAATAGATCCAAATTTWAGATTTGAAAGCTAACGAATATTTCTTTGTTGTGATCGAAGTATGTACATATCACTTTCAGAAATGCTGCYCGTTTTAAACAAGAATCTGAAGTAAAAGTTTATTGAATTTTCTTTATCCACAAAAATTAGTTAATCGGTGAATTGTTGTTTTGGAAACAACTATCATCTATAGTGGACCGCAAACATATTGTATCAAGGCGGGATATATTACATACATAGCCTCRTTGTAAAAGAATGCTATTCAAGATGACAAAATAGTGTGTTCACTGCATTCCGCTTTTTCGAAACTTAAGATCAATTGAAGATGAAAAGTCCAATAAACGATTGGCTTGATTAACTCGTAGGATCAAGAAACGGCACTTACCAGTCTTCAAGCTTACAATAATGGTTGAACAAATACTGGATTAGCTAATATTACATAATCAATTAAATTACTGTTCTTTACGTACTGTTTCTTTTCATAGATAAAACGTCAGCAACTTACTACCGTGGGAATGTATGTCCAACTGTATTTAAAGTAGTATGGCAAACAGAAAATGTTTTTTGGGAAAGCGTTGTCTACTAGYAATGCAGTTGTTATAAATTCTGTTTCCAACTGAAATATGTACAAGTACCGTTAGTTTTTAATTCGACTATATAGGAAGCATGCAATCACATCTTTAAGGTTTAGTTCGTTTTGATGCAACGATTTTCCGATGAAGTTTTCTTTTCTCAAATCAAAAGACGAGACATTTTTGAAAATTTTTAGCTAACTCAATATATTAAAGGTGCCATATCTTTGTAGAATTAATATAAGTTAATGTACTATTGTAATTTATGGACACCTTGGGATTAGCATTAAATTGTATTCCTGTTACAATCATATTTATATATTTRATATATTTTTATATATTTGTATGTCAATTTCTCCAAGAATGTTAACGGATTTGAGTTTCAATTTAGTGTCGGAGTTTTTGGAGCCGTTTAAAACACTCGAGATCGTGTTTTAAACTATAATACAAAAACTTATTCAGCTTTTTGCGAAGGCAAATGCGAACCCTTTACGAGTGCCGATTGCATATTGTGAAAAGCTGAAAACGAAAGTTTGCAAAAGAGGTTTATATCGTTTACTCGGCGCTCTGCCGATTTCAAAAGCATTGAATAGCAACGAGTTAGATTCTTTTTTTCTGCATGAAAGCAATATTGCCCACCATTATTATTATTTGCATGATTTGCTGTAATCTTTGACGATTGAAAGACATCAATGGTTGTCAATGCTTCTAGATTTATTCTGGTTTTAGAATTCGGCACCGTTAAATGCACGAAGAACAGCTGTCTACGAAACCAGCTTTCGTATAAAAAATGTCCTTTTAAACTTTAACTATCAGCATTCTAAAACTTTGAAGCATGACCAAAGTTGTTTTTAAACAAGGGACYTACACGAATCCGGCGAGCAACCATTGTGAAATATGATTGGCTTGCTTGATCTCCTGTGTCTCAACGTGACAAACGTGGTAAAAGCCGTAAAGTCACTAAACGATCACTAAACTTTAAAATATCTAGAGATAAATCCTTTGCCCGAAACGTACAATAAAGAGTAGAAACCAAGTTACAAATTGTGCGGCTTTCTTTAATACAAGCTCATTAGTATTTACAAAATCTTATTCTTCAGTTCTGTCGCTACTCTTGTCAAGGTAAAACTGAAATAAGAAAAGGAAAACTGTAAGATTATAAGATCTCCGCAAACCGAAATTTCAAAAAAAGAC